GGGGGCCCCCAGGGAGCGGGGGCATTAGAGGCTCACAGGCTTGGGGTGATGAGGTCCCAGGCAACTCAGGCTGCAAAGACTTGCTCTTTGCCAGGGGTCTGTCACTGGAGTCGACCCAGGTGGCCATGTCCTTGGGGCATCTCTTGGCAGCAGCTACGCTAGGTGCAAAGTTCTCCAGGTGAGATGAGTTAGAGAGCCAGAAACAAAGTGGGAAGTACTAGGTAGAACAGTTTAGTGGCTCTGCTCACTCTGAGCACAGGGCCATGTACCTGCAGATCCATCAGGGGCCTCAGATGATTGTGGGGCTTCAGGAGCTGGCTTTTCAGGGTCAGACGGGACTGAACTTCTTCAGCTGCTCCAGGCTGGCCAGAGTCTTCAAGAGGGGGCTCTCATGCTCCAGCCGGGAGTTTTTCTCCACCAGCTCTGAGATCTGCTCCTTCAGGATCTCTGCCTGCTCTCTCACTGCATAGAGCAGGTGATTCTTGACCAGGCCTGCTCAATCTTACTGCCTAAGGCCACCACACTGGTTCCGAAGTTCTGAGCTCCGAAGCTAGCTAGCAATTCCTTCTGGGCTCTGAAGCTTCAGTCCTGCTCCCAGGTGGCACCCCGCGCACAGCCACCCCCTGCCCAGCCCTGCTCAGCCCTGCCAACCATCCTTCCTCTGCCTGTAGCTGCCTCTGCCTGAGCCTGCAGCAGCTCATTCTCACAGAATACTTATCTTATAAGTCAATTAAAAATGAATATTTTCTGAGAGGAACAGCCCACGGAGCTACTACCGCCCTTCGCGCCGTCTTCGCTGACATCATGCTCCAGTTCCTGGTTAGATTTACTTTTGGCAACCTGGTTGGAATGTATCTGGCTCAAAATTATGACATGCCAAACCTGGCTAAAAAACTTGAAGAAATTAAAAAGGACATGGATGCCAAGAAGAAACCCCCTAGTCCATGAGGCCAACTCCAGCACTGGCTCCAGGAAATCCTGACTCTGCTCTTCTCCAGGGCCTCCTTTATACCTGAACCAAAGCTTCTGTCTTTGTCCAGTCTCAGCCTTTGCTTCGAGCACAAATGGGGCCACAAGTTAAGAACTGTGCTTACTTTCCCAACATCCTCACCTCTTTCCTTCCTCCTCGCCCCTTGGGAGGTCCTCAGACTGGAATTATGGTGCTTGATTAGTAAACATGACCTTTGATTAGTAAAAAAAAAAAAAAAAAAGAATATTTTCTGATACAAATAAAAAAAACCCTGTGAGTTCTGTCAGAAACTTGACCTTAATTTGAAGTAGTTTATAAGCACTTGGTATGTATATGTTTTAAGATAAAGATCTGCTTTTTTCTGTGCCTGGGCATTTTTAGGTGTTTTTATTTTTATTGATTTCAGGGAGGAAGGAAAAGGGAGAGAGAGAGAGACATCAATGATGAGAATATCATTGATCATCTGCCTCCTGCATGTTCCCTACTGGGACCAAGCCTGAAATCCCGGCATGTGCCCTTGACCAGAATTGGAATCAAATGTGGGACCCTTCTATCCACTGAGCCAAACCGGCTAGGGCTGTCCATGGACTTTTTAAAGTTAAAAATATTTCACAAATACATTTCAAAAAGAAATTTTGATTGACTTTGAAGATTACTTTAGTACTCAATAGTAGCACCATCTGGAGGAACTGAATTATATTTCAAATGAAAATATAAAAACATTGGGGATCATTGGATCAGTATTCTGAAGCACAAATTAGTTGTATAGAAGAGTGAAGGGGGATAAATGGTGATGGAAGGAGCCTTGGCCTTGGGTGGTAAGTGCAAAATACAATATATAGATAACATTATAAAATTTATACTTGTAACCTATATAATTTTATTAACCAATGTCACCTCAATAAGCACAATGACTTTATAGGTCAAAAGTTTGAAACGGGCTAATTGACTTCCCTGAAGCATTGTCTTGCCTCCTCTAAGTACAAAAACAAGAAAGAATCAACACATTTTGAATGAAATGGGTCAGACTGAGGGGTGTTTACATGGTATAGAGGTCCTTACAACTCTGGGTGAATACATTATGGAGATTAACCATTTCATTGACCTCATCCTCCCATCTGCCTATATTATTCTTATTCCATAATAGTCTTTATTCTGTACCTAAGCTCGCCACCATATTGCCCTATTTTTTTTTCTCCTCAATAGATTTATTTCTATCTTAAGGTTGAGACTGAACTTTAAGAAGAGTAAAGGTCTTAGCTGGTTTGGCTCAGAGGACAGTGTCAGAATGCAAGCTGAAGGGTCCCAGGTTTGACTCCAAAGGGCATATACCCTAGTTACATGCTCAATCACCACCAATAACGGGCATGCAGGAGGCAACCTATCCATGATTTTTATATCTTTGATGTTTCTATCTCTTTCTCCCTGACCCTTCCTTTCTGAAATCTATATATATATATATATATATATATATATATACACACACACACATATTAAAGGAGAAGAGTAAAGGTCTTAACAGTACGTATTTTCATTCTATACATTTTGTGGCTTAGTTTCATGTCATTATTCTTTTTCCTTCACTTTCATTTTTTCTTAATGTGAATACACTTTCACACACTTAAGAAAGGGAGGTAGAGATTATTAATGTAAACTTACTAATTTATAAGTGCCTTTAAGATAATTTTTTAAAATACATTTTATTGATTTTTTACAGAGAGGAAGGGAGAGAGATAGAGAGCTAGAAACGTCAATGAGAGGGAAACATCGACCAGCTGCCTCTTGCACAACCCCTACCGGGGATGTGCCTGTAACCAACGTACATGCCCTTGGCCGGAATCAAACCTGGGACCTTTCAGTCCACAGACCGACGCTCTGCTACTGAGCCAAACCGGTTTGGGCAGTGCCTTTAAGATAATTATGGAAACACTTTCTTGTAAATATTGGAAATATTTTTCCCAGTATGCTGTTTTCAGATCATTTACTTGTGATTTTTCCAACTTTTAGGTTTTATAGATCTCTGTAAAAAATCAATTATATATATATAATTTATATATAAATATATATGTTTATATATATAAAATATGTATATAAATATATATATTTAATATATTTTATTGATTTTTTTACAGAGAGGAAAGGAGAGGGATAGAGAGCTAGAAACATTGATGAGAGAGGAACATCCATCAGCTGCCTCCTGCATACCCTCTGCTGGGGATGTGCCCCCAACTAAGGTACATGCCCTTGACCTGAATTGAACCTGGAACCGTTCAATCCACAGGCCAACGCTCTATCCACTGAGCCAAACCGATTTTGGCAATAAAATATATATTTTTTAAAAAGAAATATACCTCCTGCCCAGCTGGTGTGACTCAGTTCTTGAGTGTCAACCTATGAACTAGAAGGTCACATTTCCATTCTGGGTCAGGGCACGGGGCTAGGGCTCGATCCCCAGTATAGGAGCCAATCAATGATGTTTCTATCTTTCTCCCTTCCTTTCTGAAATCAATAAAAATGTATTTTTATAAAAAGAATGAAAAACTTTAAATATTGGCAGTACATATTTATTTAGGATCTATTGTATATTAGGTCCTAGAATAAACTCTTTCTTTGCATTAGGTATTTTGACTCCAATCAACAGTCATTGGTAGGTTGGTTCATTTTCTGCATTATTTCTCCTTAGAAATGTGTATTTTTGAGATGCAACAAAGAGCAATGGTAGGAGCACAGACATTACAGATTACTTATTACCTTAATTCAAATCACTACTCACTAGCAGCACCATCTGACTTAGTTTATTTATGAGAAATATTGGATTAAGGCTCCATTTGTAAAATACAGAAAGCACATTTATAGGAAAATCACATGGCATGTGTTTCAAAAATGTAAGCTCTTTGTCTGCTAAATTTGAGTCTTTTTTATTTTTAGTTTAAAAAAATTTCCTTGATTTAGCTAATCATTGTTGATTAATTTCTAACAATATATTCAGGAAATGCAGTGGTGAATTTGCTATTTTTTGTGGGACAAGAACAATTCAAACAACAACCGATTCATGGACACATAAGCTCCATCATATAGGATGGAGCTTATGTTTGCATTTTAATCTTCTGTCTTCCATTCCATCACTCATGGCCCAGGTGATGATGCTAACTAACAATGATGTATGAGTGCCCAGATTGTAACACACACACACACACACACACACACACACACACACACACACACATCATAATAGAGATTCTATTGTGGCTGTCTCATACACACAAATACAATTTTATCACAGAAGGGAAAAATCAATGGGGTTTAAACTCTGTTTTAAAATCAGTTTTTCAGATCAACTTTCAAATCCTGATATTTATAGCAAAACTCCTTTCAAGTAAGGTAACTTACTAATGTATCCTTCCAAAGATTTGCTAATTGCCCCTGGTGCCCTAACCAATGCATTCTACCTTTGAGGGGGGAAAAAAGGACAAGTTATTCAAACTATTCTAGGTTCACAAAAATGAAGGCCTATCCTAGTCAGCAGAAACTTCCTTGTCAGCTCACTTTCCCCCCTGAGGGTAAGTAAACTTGCAAGAGTGACCAGACCAAGGAGAAAAAGTTGCACACTGACATGGCATGTAGATAACCAGGTATATCCAGTATGTAAAAATCCTGCATTCCTAGATTCAAACCAAGAACGAACAGTAATTGCATAATGATATATATTTTGGTGACTCCAGCAAGTTCATAAAAGAGGCAAAATACCACAGTACATATATTATTGATAAAAAGCCATAAAGCATGATTTTAATGACAAAAAAAGAAAATTAACACAATTTTACATTTCACCTTATCTTTATACTGAATACAAAGAGGTTACATTAAAGTAGAAGAAGAATAAAAGACAATAATGTATCATTAATAGGCTTCAACTAAAAAGGGCTCCTTCTCATCAGAGATCCCAGACACATAAGCAGGTTCATAACTTAGCCCTACCCATGAGTTGCCAGTGAAATGTAAGGTCTGAAACTGTTATTGCACAGGTCACCTACATAATCCTGAAATGGGGAATGCCTAATGAAGGAATGCTTAATGAGAGAACACCTCGCAACATCCACAAAACTTACAGTTCTATTGTCAACATCAAGGAACACACCGACCCTGGACAGAGGTTTTTGTATGTATTGACGAGCCATCGGGGCAGTGGTCCAGAGAGTCGTATGATTATCCTCCTTCACATGTATAAGAAGAAACGTGTCCTTACATTCAGTCAATGTGCCATTCGTCTCCATCCAGGGTTCCTTACATACCCCTACAGCCCAGTCCCAAGACTTGTCCACATACACCTCCCAATAATGCTTGCCAGACTTGAAGACACGGTTTCCCCATGCAGCAAAAGAGTTAGATGTTCCAGGATCCAGAGACACATGTAGAGCATCACCCATAAACCTCAGACTTCTCACGTCATCAAACAACCGTATATTCTCAGGGGTTATTTCACCAGTGAAGGAAACTTGCACTGTGAATAAAAAAGAATATTCCAGTCAAAATCAATGTTAAGCCCTCGGCAGTTTTTCTCAGTGATAAGAACATCAGCCCATGGACTAAATTTTGTAGTGTTTGATTCCTGATCACGGGCATATACTCTGGTAGCAGGTTCATCTCTGCCATTGTGAGGGTGCATGTGGGAGACAATCATTCCACATGTGTCTCTACTGCCTGTTTTTCTTGGTCTCTCTCTCTCTCCTCCCTCTCTTCCATGCTCCTCTGAAAATCAATGAAAAGAATATCCTTGGGCCGAGACCGGTTTGGCTCAATGGATAGAGCGTCGGCTTGGGGACTGAAGGGACCCGGGTTCGATTCCAGTCAAGGGCATGTACCTTGGTTGCAGGCATATCCCCGGTAGGGGGTGTGCAAGAGGCAGCTGATCGATGACTCTCTCTCATCGATGTTTCTAGCTTTCTATCTCTCTCCCTTCCTCTCTGTACAAAATCAATAAAATATATTAAAAACAAAAACAAAAACAAATCAATGTTGAAAATAAAATTGTCGATGAGAGAATGGGACAGCTTAGTGTCTCACTGGACAAAAAAAAATTAACACTAAGTTTGAATGGAAAATATTGGATTCAAATGATGCCAACATATCTCCTAAAAAAAAAAAATATCCAAGACCTTCTAGAAATAGGCTATCATAAAAGTGAAGAAGGTCATGTCTACTTCTGGCTGGTTACTTTTTATAAACTGAATACGTGGGCAGTGCTACCAAGTCCATAACAATAAATCTTGCCCCTCCCACTCTGTCTTGAGGAGAAAAATAATTTTATTTTAAATAAATGGAAATGACTTGCTCAGAATATGGTGCTACCCCAGCTGATGATACTCCAGGTAAGTAAGCAAGTTGACATTAAAGAAGAAAGATAAAGGCCATCTTAGGTATGATTTCCTACTAAGAATAAGATGCCTTTAATAACAGGTTCCACCTAAAAGCTTAATCTTTCTTTCTCATAGATTAAACTCCTAGGTAAAAGTTTAATGTTGAGCTCTATATATAGGCTTATTGGCCACCAAATTCTTTTATTATCATATTCATATTCATAGTTTGTACAACTAGCTTTTTAAAAAATATATATTTTATTGATTTTTTACAGAGAGGAAGGGAGACAGTAAGAGAGATAGAAACATCGATGAAAGAGAAACATCGATCAGCTGCCTCCCTCACACTCCCCACCGAGGACGTACCCACAACCAATGCACATGCCCCTGACCGGAATCGAACCTGGGACCCCTCAGTCCACAGAAGGATGCTCTACCACTGAGCCAAACTGGTTTCAGTGTACAACTAGCTTTTTACACAATGGTTATTAATTCACATTATATCAATTGAAACCCACATTATATATCTAATTACTATAATTATTTAAGGAAATATTTTAGAAATCTAATTCACTGCAGTTATTTGGAATACCTTGCACTGATATCCAGTTTTCTATGGATCAATCAACAATTGACATTTTATATGATATATTTATAAGGTTCTGTGGGATCCTTTTTGGTGCATGTATTTTTTATCATGATATAAATAACATGAAATTTACAAGTTATTGATAAGGCCTGAGTCACACCTATCATTTTCCTATATTATAGTGACCCCATAACTACATAGGACTATACATGCCACTTTGAAGACTATTTTCTTGTGCAAGGTAAAGTTTAAGAAAGAGGAAAAAGTCACCCACAACATTTCCCAACTGAAGGATCCCGCCAGGTGGTCCCCCATTGGGTAACATTCACCTCGGAAGGGGTTGAGCCTGTCCATCAGTCCAGTGATGGGACGTGCAGTGAGTTCTGGCTGCAGAGGCTGAGGCATGTGCAGCTGCACCTGCTCACTCCTGTCAGGAGGAAGAGGCAATTAATCCTGCTGGTGGCATCACCATTCAGCTGAACATTCATCAAAATCCTTTTGTTCACAATTATAATATAGACATTTTTAGGGAATCTCTCTAACTTTTCTTTTTTCTTTGTCTACTACCAGTCCCATTTCTCAGAGGTACTTGTCTCTCTTACCTAATTCTGGGAAAATCTAGACTAAATCTATACTTTGCAATTTCAGTTCCTATTGACTTTGAAATATTAAACCATAAATGATCAGTCTTTATGAAAAGTCCTCATTGAGCCTAATGACACATGCTCCCTCAGCCACTAAAGGAAAAATACTAACTTCTGGTCAAAAGTAACAGGAAGCCCTATTCTGCAAAACATGCACAAGTAGTTGCACACACAAATAATTGAGAATAATCTGAGAAATTATGTCTTCACTATGTGAGAGGTGGTTGTAATCACTTTCACATCCCTAATGAGCCCCAGTTAACATTGAAACCCAAAATCACCTTCTTAGTTTGTCTTCTAGTTCCTGTAAAGAAAGAAGAGAGAAGCTTAGAATTCTTCAGAAATAGGTTATTTTACCAACCAGACTTTGGGTTTGGGGGAGTTCAGAAAAATACTAATCACACCACCTGCAAACTGTCTTATAAATTCATTTTTCTTTTCTTCCCTAAAGATCATACTGACACAACATGTTGTCAGAATCTAAATTCTTTTCCAAATACTTAAAATCATTTTACTTAAACACAGTTGGTATTCTTATATAGGTTATATTATAAGATTATACAATATAGCAGTTATACAATATAGCAAGTCAATATTTTTGTATCTTATAGAGTGATCACTCCCACTAATCCTAGTAATTAATTGTCACCTTGGGAACCTATTGCAATATTTTGAACTGTCTTCCCATCTCCCTATCAGTCCCCTCCCCCCCACCCCCCAAATTCTGGCAACTATGCTTTTGGTTGATTTTTGTGTTCTTGATGGATTCAGAACACTGAGTATGAAAAAAGAGAACACAAGAATAGTGACTACATTACTCTTAATCTCAGCTTTCTGCATTAGGGTTTTTCCTAAGGCTTGCTCTCAAAGTGGAACATGCCCCAAATTAATGGCAAGGGAAACCAATGGTAATGGTATCACAATAGGAGGAAATATATAGGAGCTTTGACCAAATGTCTCTATATTGCCCACTTGCAGATCAAAATTAAAAGTACTTGGGTAAGTTTTTCATATTCTGTTTAGTAAAGCAAGAATTAAAAGGAGATTTTTAAAGAAGGAATATGTTCCATAGGGAATTTTCAAAATCACAGTTCCATAAAACTTCATTGTTTATAATTAGGTGGGGGAGAATAACAGCTTATCTATATCATTCCCAATGGGGAGACCCTCTCTACCATAGATTCAGGAGATGAAGACATCAATCTTTGATACCAAATAAATGAGGGAAAGCAAAGTCTTCTGATGATATAAAAAATTCCCAGGCACATACTCAGTTCCTACCTTGAGCATCTCTTCATCTGGTTTCAGACACATGCCCATGAGCTCATCATACATTGCTCTTAGATTAATGCTCTTTTCAATCATTTCGGCTTGATATTTCTTCAGTTGCTCAGACAACTTTGACCCTTCCTCAATAAGTTTTTCTAAATTTTTTTTGTCTTCTTCTTGTAGAACCAGTTGGAGTGCCTCATAAAAAGCTCTGGTTTCATCTTGGCGTCCATAGAGATAAGCCTGCAGAGAGATAGATCTCCTAGATCACATTACAAGGGCTGACCTTACCCTCCACCACTTAAACAGCATCTCATTCCCTGATGTTGTTCTCTACCAATAAGTTTCACCACACTAAATTCAGGTCATTCCTCTTTCCTTCATTTATGTTTTATTCTTATAAGCTATGCAAACAGCCTTAATCCTACACTTTCCTCAAAACACCCCCTTCCACTTCATGAGTGCCTGAAGGAACTGGAGAAAAGCTTCTCATTAAGAATTTCTTTTACATTCCTTTTCTCAAGACTGCAAGCCAGCTATGGACGTTTATGGTGACAACATGCAACATTCTGGCTCTGCATCACTAAATTCATCTCTGGTGACAAAACCTCCCTACTCTTCTGCATGAGAACTCAGCATAGCTCTTTATGGAGCACATCATTGCCTTTCCCCACGCTCTTCTTCCCCCGTGGATTTGAAGCCATTAGAAAAGACCTCCCTAAATCCTCACCACCTGCCCTCACACTGACATCCATCCTCCTGGACCTTTTCTTTGTCGCCCTTTTCTCTATGGATGGGCTACTGTCCTCCAGCTAAGACCACAGGCTCCTCTATTAGTTCCTAAAGAACTATAATCGTTCCATTGTGCATTCTCTCCCAAAAGGGATGGATTCACACTCTCTCTCCAGTCTTAGTTTCTTCTATTCTTTACTTCTTTTCCTTATTTTTCTTTTAATTGAACATGTTATATTTTCTTCTACTTAAACAATATCATTGTCTAGCACTTGCACTCTCAATTCTCACCATGTAGGCACACACTTTAAATCACTGTTCTCAGGTCTTTTCCTGTCAGGTCTATGTCAGCCTGATTCACAGGGAAATGCAGTCTCATACTTACCATCCAAAAGACAGGTATTCTCCCATCTTTCCTGAGAGTTTTTTTAATTTCTTGAATCTTTTCCCATAAAGATCTCATTTGGTTAGAGAGCTTTCTCTGTAAAATGAAATGAAATGAAATGAAATAAAATGAAATGAAATAAAATAAAATAAATTTTAGCACCAGAGAAGCAAATATATTTAGGTTTCAGATACTAAATGAAGGCATTAATCAAGGGATATTAGACAAAAGTACTTTAGAAAAGAATCATGATTTTTCCCTATTTGCCCTCACGAATGATACATTTTAGGTTTTAAAACACCCAATATAACATAAAAATTTCTCTAGAGAAACTGATCAAGATTTTACTTAGCACAACTACTTCTCAGTTGGTCAGAATTTGAAGCTAGTGATACTTTTCTGCTCCAAATTCCACTGTATTTCTTCCGACATCTTTATCAGTGTTAGCAAATATAGTCTCCACTAGAAATCCTTCCTATATTTGTACTTTTCACACCACCGAATCTTTCATGAAAGTTTTCCAGTGCCTTGAGTACAATGCTGCATCATCAAAGTAATGATGATCCTTAATTAATTACTCTCTCATTAAATGCAATGTCCATGAAGACAGGTAAACCAGTGCATTTCCTCACAGCTTCATTAATGGTTCTTACGTATGTATCAATACACTTTAAAAGGAGAAGATAGAATCCTCATCTCTTTGCTGTACTCTCTGCCAGCATTCAAAGAGCTCTGAGGGGCACCACTCACCCTGTGTTCCTCAGCAGCCTCTCCCACGGAGCAGTGTCTGTGGGCCTCGTGTTCCTGAGAGCTGGAGCAGTGCAAACAGAGCAGGTTCCTGTCATCTTCACAGAAGATCTGCCTTGTCTCCTGGTGCAGTCCGCATCTATTATCCTCAGAGCTCAGGAATTGCCACAAACTGGCTTTTCTGGCCATGGACACCAGATTTTTCAGGATAACATTGGTTTTAAAGTTGTTCTGCTCTGATGGTTCCCTGCACACAGGACAACAGAGAGGGCTTTCTTCTTTATCCCAGGAAACATAGAGACAGGAACAACAGAAGCTGTGCCCACAGCCCACGGTGACTGGGTCTGTAAAGTAATTCAGGCAGATGGCACAGGTGAGTTCTTTCTGGAAGTTTTCTGGGATGTCTGAGTCCATTTTTCTGAGAGAAGAAAAGCAGGAGTTTCTTCTTCTGCCCTGGGGATACAAAGATCTAAGCAAAATGTGACTCAGGTTGTGACTTAATAACTGTGTCCAGAGCAGAGTAAAGCTTGATAGGCACGTGACACCAACAGAAAGCAGACACAGGAAGGCTCCAACAACCTGTAAAAACTATTCTTGGATTTCTAACCAATATTATCCACCTCCTGCATACTTTTCTTCTGCTTAAGAAGGAACCTCAATTTTCTGAGTTCTTATTTTCTCCAAATAGTTTCAGTTTCAGGTATCTTGAATAATTTACAATTCCAGGTTCTGGGTCCTGCATGCTCTAATATTTTATCTAACACTCAATGACAGTCATTGATTTAGCTCAAGGTATTTTACTTAAATTTTCATTATTTTGTAATTGTCAGGCATTTTGGATGTGATTTTTTATCTCAATCAGAGTCCACATCCCAAAACATTCGATGGAATCCAATTAATATATTTTCTTTTGTGACATGTGCTTTAAAAAATGGTTTCAGAGAGAGAATGAGAGAGAGAGAGAGAGAAGCATTGACTGGTTGCCTCCTGCACATTTCCCAATGTGGACTGAGTCCACAACCTGGGTATATGTCCTGGCCAGGAATGAAATTAGAGATTTCCTAGTGCTTGGGATGTTGCTCTATTTAACCAACTGAACCACACTGGCCTGGAAACTCTTTTGATTTATACTAAACAATATGTGAATACCTTAAGAGTAATGAAGAGGAAACTAAGCATTGTCAAAATCATCAGAATTTCACAGACTCTACTCCCATGATAATTCCAATGTGCTTTATTAACCCTCTTCTCTTTATTAGTCATTTCTATTAATCTAAGGAACAAAAAATTAAAGAGATAATTGCTGTTTTTGTTTTTTTGGTGTGTTTTTTCTTATGCCATGACATAATGATCAAATTTATTCTTTTTGTAGGACATAAGAGATTAGAAGTAAAACGTCTTCATATTTAAGGAAATTAAGATTTAAAGCAAAACACATAGAATTTAACTACCAACTTCAGATGATCGTCAAACACATTTAAGTAAAGTTCATTAAGAATTGTCAGTCCACTCCCCTTTCCTACCTCTGATTCTATTCTATTCACCCGTTAATATTGTTCATCCGATTTTTTAATTCCCTTGGCTTCTAGATTCACGTGTTGATCATTATGTATCTGTTGCTCATCATTTTTATTTTTATCTTCTTCCTCT